CAGCAAGACCTCATCTCTACAATAAATCAAAAAATCAGCTGGGCGTGGTAGCGCATGCCTGTAATTCCGGCTACTCGGAAGGCTGAGATGGAAGGATCGCCGGAGCCCAGCAGGTCGAGGCTGTGGTGGCTGGGAGTGGCCACTGCACTCCAGTCTGGGCGACAGAGTGAGACTCCAACTCGAAAAAAACAAAAAACAAAAAAAATCTACTGAAAGAAACATAGTGAACAAGAAGAATAATTTTTAGAGCATAAGGAACTAAAAAAGAAAGTGAATATTTAAAACTGTTGAGCAAAATTGTCTTCCCTGTATATGTGCTGTGTTTATAAATTTGGGAAAAAATAGAGAAACAAGAAAACTGAGATATAACTATAAATTAGGCAGTTTTTGACTAGTCTGGTGACTGGGTAATTCATGATATTCTGCATGAAGCATGGGCACTTGGCCTTGACCTGTACTGATAATGAATTTTTACATAAGAATTATTAAATATTCCTACAGTTTTAGTAAGTTACTTTGCAAATAACAGAATGAAAAAGACTTTATTATCTGTTTTAATACATACAACATGCATTATGATTTTACTTACGTATTGTCAATGTTAAAAGCAAAACTAAAGTTTAGTTTGGTCCTTTAAAGTTCAAAGATCCTTGAGGAATAATAATGCACTTACATTTTTCCTCCAGGATGATTTATCAAAATAGCAGTTACAGGAATTAAAATATTTATATGTGTCATTTACAGATAGGTTGCTGTTTAATAGCAGGAGTTAGTGTAGTGTGTTATCCTCATATTTATGATGAAATAAACTCCCGGATTGACTCCTTCCATAATTCAGAGATTCCTTCTACTTTGTTCTACCAGGTCTATAACACAGCTGATGTTACTGTATTGGTGTACTCTGCAGGTGTGTTTCCATTAGCAGGAATCACAGGGGCTTACCCACATGCAACCATGTTGTTTTATTTTGTCTGATTTTGAAAGCAAGCTGAGTCAATAAAACAGTTTCTTAATTTTATTTAATATTTAATATTTATTTCATATTTCTTCATCTCTTATCAAATGCACTGCCGGTCACTTTACTAAAAATATTAAACAGGAAAAAACAACTCTTAACAGTTAGAACTTTTGTACTTTAAACAAATATTTTGATACCTAAATAGAATTGGAATGGCTATTAAGTTATTCCAATTTTTTTGGAGCAAAGCTATTAGGTCGGATCATATTAATTTGCTGATTTTTGACCAGCAAAAGAGACGGTTTCAGATGCTTCTACCTGTATATACAGGAGTGAGTGGTGACTTTGTAATTGCTAGGAATTAAAACTTCCTAGCCTCTACACAGATGTAGAGCATCAGAAGATAAGCTAGACAAATAATTATTTGTCCCTCAGTCAGCTTTATGCATGTAATTAACATCTAACAGCAATAAAAAATATGAACATCTTAAGCGGTGTAGAAAAATCTCCTTATATTGTCCAGAGGGGAGGTTGTTGGTATAGCCGGCTTACCAGCCAGCCTTCTGGCCCCTACACTAGTCCTTTTTGAATTGGAATCACAGATATCAGTGTTCCCCCAAATATTTACTTTCATGATGACATTTTATTGTTGTTGCTATTATTGTTATTTATAACGTCCAGTAGATTTCCCGGAGGCACAGATGGCGTTTGTTATGTGCACATCCCCATCAGTAGGCCTGCAAGATACACAATAAGTGTTTGTCGAATGAATGGACAGTGACAGTTGGCTGAGCACCTTCACATGCATTATCCCACCTATGAGTTTTATGTGTGCATTTTGCGTCATGTCTTCATCTCACTCTTGAAGTTGTATTTTGTTTTTGTTTTTAAGTTTATGACATTAACAGGAAAGGAAATGCCTAATTGTTGCATGAGGAATCTCTAAGACTTAATAGAATTCTGAAAATTGAAATCCTAAATCTATTCAGTCAGATGGTTTTTTTTGTTGAGGGCAGATTGCCCTGTTTTGCATGTGTAACTGCATTTACTTTTTATCCAGTGACTGAACTGGAAAGAACAGTGAACTGCTAACTTGTATTGGGAATGTAGTCTCACGCCTGCGCCAATGACTGCTTCCTCCTCTGTGGTCAGGTACAATGGACACTGGCCCTTAGATGACTCCAGTAGATACAGTAGTACCATGTTTATGAGTGTTGAGATGAGCAGTTTTATTTCCCTACTATTATGTATTTACAAATTTAGCTTAATGCATCTTGAACTGTAATAAAAGACTATTGTTTATCTGAATATTTCTTGAAATAACATTAAGATTGTTGTATTGTTTCCTAGGACCAGTGACATAGGAGTCCTTTCCCATAAGGAACACCTGCCAGTCACTAAGGTTGTGATGACAGACACAGGCCGACCACATTCTGAAGCGGCTTATGCTCTGGGACCTCTTCTCTGCCAAGGGGACAGTAAGTAGTGGCAAGAGGAACTATCTTGACACCTAAAGATGCATGTTAGTGTTTTGTGAGAAATTCAGCTGCATGGGTTCATAAAAACACTGACTATCTAGGCAATCTATATTTTATTAGGAATAATTAACTTAGAAAATAAGAAGCATATGTTGTAATTGAAAAAAACTGAAAAAATGATACTACCTCTGGGTTATGTCTATTTATATAGTATTAATTTTAAAGAAGACCAGGGCTGTGAAGACTAATGAAATAATCTGAAATGTTACATCATTTGTTAGGAAATATTGAATATATACCAACTTTGCTGAGTGCTAAGATAGTAAAAACTGGTAAATGAGAAAACGAGAGGACAAAGCCCATCAGGTCTATCTGTTCATTAATGCCTTTCAGCAATTCTGAATGTTCGTATAGGAAACCTCAACAATAACTCCTCCAAAATAAGTAAAATTAAATACATATATTTTCTAGCTTTAATTTTCTTCCTTGTAGTCTCTCTTGAATATACTGTATCCAGGACTTCTCTGCCAACACTCCTCAGAAACTGCTCTTGCCCAGGTCACCAATGTGACCTTGATATTGCTAAAAGCAATGTACATTTATCAGTAATCTGCTTAATTGACCCATGAGCAACTGTGACTTCCTCTCATGATACTCTTTGATTTATTTTCTTTACTTGGTGGCCAGCATGCCACAGAGCCTTGGTTTCTCTCCTTCCCCCCTCCTTCCCAGTCTTCCTCTCACCAGTGTGATAGTGTCAAGGTGTCCATGGCCCTCTCTTAGATCCTGTTCTTCTCTATACCCTGTTAGTGATCTATTTCCCATCATTCTCACAGTTTTCAATACCACATAGATGAGTGACCTGCACATTTATATCTCAAGCCTAGTATCCCCTGAACTCCTGGCCCCTGCATCAGACTGGTTGTTCTGCACTTTGATTTGCATTTCAGTGGGCACTGTAAACTCAACCTATCAAAACACTTTTTATTTAAAGTTTCCACTACAGTTTTCCCCGACTCAGCACATGACAATTCTATTCTTCCAGTTGCTCCTTAGACTGAAAACATTGTAGCCATTCATATCCTTTTTTTCTCTCAATACACATTTAATTCGTCAGCAAGTCTTATTAATTCTAACTTCAAAAATGGATCTGAAGTCTGACCATGTCTGACCATCTCCTTGACCACTCTTGAATGGGCTGTTGTGTGGCTCTAGCACCTATTTGTGTGCAGCTGTCTTTGCCCACTCAGCCAAACTCAACAGAGAAGCCAGAGTGAGTGCTCTGGTGCCAATGGCCCCAAATCAAAGAACAGACCAAATCACAATTTTCACCCAGGTTCCCAGTGGACATGCTGAACTCTGAGCCAGGCAAGTCCTCACTGGGGCCTGTTGAGCCACAGTCCTCTGAAGTCCCATGTTCACTCTAGAGCTAAGCATGCCTGGATCTGATCTCCTAATAAGCTGACCAAACTGCCGGGCTCAGTGGCTCAGCCTGTAATCCCAGCCCTTTGGGAGGCCGAGGTGAGTGGATTACCCGAGCCCACAGGTTTGAGACCCACCCGGACAATTTGGTGAGACCTCATCTCTATAATAAATAAAAAATTAGTCGGGCATGGTAGCATGTGCCTGTAGTTCCGGCTACTTGGAAGGCTGAGGCGGAAGGATCACCGAAGCCCAGCAGGTCGAGGCTGCAGTGGCCGGGAGCGTGCCACTGCACTCCAGTTTGGGTGACGGAGTGAGACTCCAATTCAAAAAAAAAAAAAAAAAAAAAGCTGACTAAAAATGTTTAGAGCTGAGCTAAAAGCATAGCCACTGGGTGGTGTGTGAGAGACAGTTCTGAATAGTCCAGCAAATGCTTTGAAAACTGAATTGACTTTAAAGCCATGACACACTGAAGGTAAGTTGGAACACATGGCCAGAACTCAACCAGGCCAACTGTCTGCAAAAAATTATCTAAGAAATAATACAGAATTACCTAGCAGACAAGGAACCAGAAAAATCTTAGCTTTCATAGGGAAAGACATCCTACAAATGGCAATGACATGACACAGAAGTTAAAATTATTTGATAGAGACATTAAAGCAGCTATTACACAAATAGTCAAAAAAAGAATTATAAAAACTCTAGAAACAAATATATAGGAGAGGAATAGAGTATATGAAGAACAATAAAATATAAACTTCAGAACTGAAAAGTATAGTAACCGAAATAGAAGGTACTGAATGACCATAATAGCATATTTGAGATGGAACAGTCAATGAACTTGAAGATAGATCATTAGACATTATTCAGTCTGAATGAGAGAAAGGAAAAAAGATTGAAGGAAATGAACAGGGCCTCAGAGATCTGTAGGTCAGCAATAAAATACCTAATATTCATGTGTTTTTCTTTCCAGAAGACATGAAAGTGTGGTGCTGGAATTTTTTTTTTTTTAATTCAAGGAGTACACATGTGTATTTGTTACATGAACATATTGTGTAGTGGTGTGGATTGAGTCTCAGGTATCCTATTCCTCAGATAGTGAACATTGTGCCCATAAGTCGTTTCTGAAACCTAACATACCTCTCCCCACCCCATTGGTGTCCCCAGTATCTATTATTTCCATCTTTGTGACCATTTAGCTCCCACATGCAAGTGAAAACATGCAGTGATTGGTTTTCTGCTTCTGAGTCAGTTTAACTAAGATAATGATCTCCAGTTCCATCCATGTTGGTGCAAAGGACATGATTTCATTCTTTTTATGACTTCATAGTATTCCATTATGTCTATACACCACATTTCCATTATCCACTGATTGGTTAAATGAGCATTTAGGTTGATCCCATATCTTTGTTGTGAATTATGCTGCAATGAACATGCAAGAATAGGGATATTTTAAAATTAATATAATGACCTCTGTTCCTTAGGGTAGATACCTAGTAGTGGGATTGCTGGATCAAATGGTAGATCTACTTTTAGTTCTTTGAGTAATCGCCACACCACTTCCCACAGAGGCTGTACTAATTTACACTCCCACCAACAGTTTATAAGTATTCCTTTTTCTTTGCATCTGCACCATCATCTATTGTTTTTTATTAAAAAAAAATAATAATGACCATTCTGACTGGTGTAAGATGGTATCTCATTGTGATTTTAATTTGCATTTCCCTGATGATGAGTGATGTGGAGCATTTTTTCATATTTTTTTGGTCATTTTTGTATTTTCTTTTCAGAGATGTCTGTTCATGTCGTTTCTCACTTTTTAATGACGTTATTTGCTTTTTTCTGGATGATTTGTTTGAGTTATTTGTAGATTCTGGATATTAGTCCTTTGTCAGATGTATAGTTTGCAAATATCTTCTCCCACTCTGTAGGTTGCCTTTTCGCTCTTTTGATTATTTCTTTTGCTCTGCAGAAGCCTTTTTAGTTTAAGAAAGTCTCACCTATATATTTTTGTTTTAGTTGCGTTTGCTTTTGGGGTTTTGGTCATAAATGCTTTGCCTATGCTGATATCCAGAAGAGTTTTTTTCTACGTTTTCTCCTTGAATATTTATGGTTTCAGGTCTGACATTTAAGTCTTTAATCCATCTTGAGTTGATTTTTGTATATGGGGAGAGATAGGGATCAAGTTTCATTGCTCTGCATGTAGCTATCCAATTTTCCCAGCACCATTTGTTGAATAGGGTGTCCTTTCCCCAGTGTATGTTTGTCTGCTTTGTCAAAGATCAGTTAGTTGCAGGTATTTGGGTTTATTTCTGGATTCTCTATTCTGTTCCATTGGTCAATGCATCTGCTCTTGTACCAGTACCATGCTGTTTTGGTTATTACAGTTTTATAGTATAATTTGAAGTTAGGTAATGTGATGCCCCCAGCTTTTTTCTTTTTGCATAAGATTGCTTTGACTCTTCTGGCTCTTTTTTGGGTCCATATGAATTCTAGGATTTTTTTAATTCTGTGAAAAACAGCATTGGTAGTTTCATAGGGATTGCATTGAACTTGTAGGTAACTTTGGGTAATATGGTCATTTTAATAATGTTAATTCTTCTAATCCATGAACATAGGCTATTTCTCTGTTTGAGTCCTCTGCTATTTCTTTCATCAATGTTTTGTAGTTTTCCTTTTAGAGGTCTTTCACCTCCTTGGTTAAACATGTTCCTAGACATTTTAGCCTTTTGGGTGCTATTGTAAATGGAATGGAGTTCTTGATTTGAGTCTCAGCTTGATTGCTATCGGTATATAGCAGTGCTGCTAAATTGTGTCTGTCGATTTTGTATCCTGAAACTTTGCCAGATTCATCTATCAAGTCCAGGAATCTTTTGGAGGAGTCTTCAGGGTTCTCTAGATCATAGATATAAGAGCATGTCATCAGCATACAAAGATAGTTTGATTTCTTCTTTTCCAATTTGGATAAGCTTTATATCTTTCTCTTACTTGATTGCTCTGGCTGGGACTTCCAGTTCTATGTTGAACAGGAGTGCTGAAAGTAGGTATCCTTGCCTTGTTCCCATTCTAAGAGGAAACAGATTCAACTTTTCTTCATTCAGGATAACATTGGTTGTGAGTTTATTGTATATGGCTTTTATTATTTTGAAGAATATTCCTTCTATGCCTATTTTGCTGAGGGTTTTTATCAAGAAGGTATGGTGGATTTATCAAATGTTTTTTCTGCATCTATTTAAATGATCATATGATTTTTGCTTTTAATTTAGTTTTTGTGGTGAATCACGTTTATTGACTTGCGTATGTTGATCCACCCTTGCATCTTTGGGATAAAACCCACTTGGTTATAGTGTATTATTATTATTATTATTTAATGTGCTGTTGAATTCAGTTTGCTGATATTCTGTTGAGGATTTTTGCATCTATGTTCAGTGGTTTTCTTTTTGTTGTGTCTTTTCCTGGCTTTGGTATCAGAGTGATACTGGCCTTGTAGAATGAGTTAGGGAGGATTATCTCCTCTTCATTCTCCTGAAATGACTTCAGTAAAATTGGTACCAGTTCTTAAAGTTCTGGTAGAATTC